TTTGTTCTGTGTCTTTTTTATGTTACCAGTCCTTTTCTGTTTTCTCTGGTTTTAATTTAGCATTTTATATGGTTCCTGTTTCTCTCACTTTTAGCATATCAATTAGACCTCTTTATTTTACATGTTTAGTGATTGCTTTAGAACTTGTAATATTTATTTACAACTAATCTATTCCACTTTCAAATGACACTATATTTCACTGATAACACAGGTATTTTCTAACCAGATTAGCTTCTTTCACTTAGTAATATGCATTTGAGTTTACTCCATGTCTTTCCATGACTTGATAGCTCATTCCTTTTTATAACTGAGTGATATTCCATTGGCTGGATGTACTACCATTTATTTATCCATTCACATACTGAAGGACATCTTCGTTGCTTCCAAGTTTCGGCAATTATGTATAAAGCTACTGCATTAATAAAAGTTTTTGTGTAAACACAGATTTTACTCTCCTTTGGGTAAACACCAAGGAGAACAATTAATGGGTCATATAGTAAAAGTATGTTTAGTTTTATAAGAAACTGCCAGTTTGTCTTCCTTAGTGGTTGTACCATCATCATTCCCATCAGCAGTGTATGTAAGTTCCTGTTGTTCCCCATCCTAGGCAGCATGTGGTGGCGTCAGTGTTCTGGATTTGGGCTCTGGATTTTGGCCGTCCTCATAGCTGTGCAGCGGTATCTCTTTAAAAATTTTTTCATTTGTCTGGTGACACATGATATAGAGCATCTTTTCATATGTTTATTTGCCATATTCTTTCATGAGGTGTCTGTTAAGGTCTTTGGCTCATTTCTTACTCAGCTCTTTGTTTTCTTACTGTCAAGTTTTAAGAGATTTTTGAAAATGTATGTCTGTGAAACATTTTGCATAATTTTTGTGAAGGGTGTTAGGTCTCTGTCTAGATTTGATTCTTTTCTTTTTGTTGTTTTGCATGTAAATGTCCAGTTTTCCAGCACCATTTGTTTAGAAAATTATCTTTGCTCCATTGTATTGCATTTGCTCCTATGTCAAATAGTTGTCAAATCAGTCAACTATTTATGGAGGTCCATTTCTAGACTCTATACTGTTCTATTAATCTGTCTATTCTTTGGCCATTATCATACTGTCTTGATTAATCAGTTAGTTTTTTATAAGAGTTACAAGAAATTAAATGATGAGAGATTAATCTTCAACAAATGGTGCTGTGACAGCTATACAGCCACACACATGTGTAAAAAGTGTACCTTTGTACTCATAATTCGTGCCACATATAAAAATTAATGGATGTATAAAATCAAAATAGGTCAAAGATCTAATACAATGAAATTTTCAGAAGGAAACCTAGTTGTAAATCTTCATGAACTTGGATTAGACAGCAGTTTCTTACATATAACATGAAAGTACAAGCAACAAAGAAAAAATAGATAAGTTGGAATTCATAAAATTAAAAACATTGCATCAAAGGACATTATCAAGAAAGTTAAAAAAAGAAAACATTTGCAAGTCCTATATCTGAGGGCCTAGTATTCAGATTATATAAAGAACACTATCAACTCAAAAATAAAAAGACAAACTAATTTTTAAAATAGGCAAAGGATTTGAATATAACAAAATATACCAAATGGCCCATACTCATATGGAAAGATGTTAAACATTGTTAATCATAAGGGATATAAATCAACCACAATTAAATACTACTTCACACTCACTAGGTTGTATATAATGTTTTATAAAATGAGAATTTATGAATTGTGGTGAGAATATAAAGAAACTGGGATCCTGGTAAGAATGTAAAATGGTACACCCACTCTGAAAACAGTTTGGCATTTCCTCAAAAATGTTGCAGTAGTTACCATATGAAATTCCACTTTCATTTCCATGAGTAATTAAAATATCTAGTCAGAAAAAAATTTGAGTAAGAATGTTCATAGTTGCATTAGGAGAAGTGCAAGTTGCAGCGCTCCAAAATCTTGCGACTATAGACTATCTACTGTTAAAAGAACATACAGGATGTGAACAGTTCCCAGGAATGTGTTCTTTTAATTTGTCTGATTTTTCTCAAACTATTCAAATTCAGTTAGACAATATCCATCATATCATTGAT